TGCTTTTCATTTTTGGGTTCTTTATGTTACTATCACAATTTCAGTGCACTGCATTTGTGTTCTTTACAACATCATGCCTCATGAGTTGTCTTTTAAAACAGTGATTGAGTATGTGATAAAGTTTGAAAGTGGAAAAAATAATGGAGAACGAAGTCAAACTCTGCCATTTAATGGAAACAGAAAAACTCAGCACAAGTCAGTCATATGCTTGCTTGTAGGTGTAGTTTCTTGTCTTCATTCTTCATCTTTAGTCTTGAAAATGCAAAAAATGATTTTGTTGAAAATGTTTCATAGATTTTATGTACAAAAAGTCACTGTTCTTTACATAATCATCATCTATTGTTACCTTCCCAGCTTCACGGCTCTTGGCTCTCAGCTTGTTGACCTGGGACTCGGCGATGTCAGCGCGCTCATGAGACTCCTCCAGCTCATGCTGCACCTTCCTGTACCTGGACAGGTGAGTGTTGGCCTGCTCCTCCTGTTAGGATTACACAAGATATCCAACCCCCTTTCAGAGCATTGCACTCATGGCACTGAGTGTATTGAATAGAAAATGTCAAAACTTCACCCTCAAGACATTTGACATTAGACTTACAGCTTCTTCAGCTTGGCGTTTGTAGGCCTTCACTTTCAGCTGCAGCTTGTCTACCAGATCCTGCAGTCGAGTCACGTTCTTCTTGTCTTCCTCAGTCTTTGGATGTAAAAATTGTTCATGGTCTTGGTTAAACTATGTATATCATCATGAAATGTGTTAAATATCTAATTCTTGTGTAGTTTTACCTGGTAGGTGAGCTCCTTCGCTCTCCTTTCATATTTGCGCACTCCTTTCACAGCGTCTGCACCACGTCTCTGTTCAGCTTCAACTTCAGCCTCCAACTCATGCACCTTCAGTAGAGAGTTATTGTTATCACCTGTGAAATCTCTGCCATGGCCAGTTCATCTAAGGGTTACTCTCACTAGGCGATCTGAACCATGCCCGAGCACCAAAAGTCTGGTTCTTTTGACTAGTGTGATCACTCTGTACCATGCCCGAGCACGGCACACTGAACCATGTCCTGGCCCGCTTGAAGAGGTGAGCCAGAGCATGGTTCAGTTGGGCTCTGGCGCGATATGCATGTAGTGTGATCGCTAACTGCACCGGCGCACAGAACAGCTACTAATTGTGTGCGCTACTGTCATATTTTCTATAAAAAACATTTATTACTACTTGAAAAGTAGCAATTTTCAGTTAATTTGAGTATTGAGTAATGTAGGTTTATAACGGGTCTGGTTTTCACCTTATTGATAAACAATATTTATACTTTGTGAGTATAGCTGCAAATTCCTCCATCAATGTCATCTGACTCCATAATATCTTTTTGATATGTGCAGCACAATTAAATGAAAATCACTACACTGCATAAGTGATAAATGTATTAGACAGTCTAATAGCGAAAGCGCTTTTCTTCAAAACAAAAGTTGAATCGGAATGACTAAAGCCTGCTCCAGCCCAAAATGTTAAGTGCATTGTAAGTGCAGGCCAGCGGGGGAGTGGGGAGGGGGTATAATCGCACTCTGGCTCGTTAAAAGGCAACCGTTCCTAGTATGAGTACACCCTAAGTCTTATTTAGTCTATAATTTACCCTGGACTCCAGTTTCTGGAGCTGTTTCTTTCCACCCTTCATGGCCAGACTCTCAGCCTCATCCAGACGGTGCTGCAGGTCTTTGACAGTCACCTCCATGTTCTTCTTCATCCTCTCCAGGTGAGCACTGGTGTCCTGCTCCTTCTTCAGCTCCTCAGCCATCATGGCAGCCTGAAATATAAGCCAATGAAAATTAGCTAACCAATATAGATAGAATTAGCTTCCATGAATGGCACCCAACAGACCAGCTTTGAAGAACACCTACAAGAACATTTGGAATACATTAGTGGTGTAGTGTTGAAGAAGCCAATAAGTCCTTTTCAGCATTGATGTGGCCTGGGATACACTATATGGCCCTAATAATAATTGAGATTGGCTGTTCCAGTAATTCCAGTGGGAAAAAATCTATTATGTTCTATACTATAGTATAGAATGACATTTGAGAAATTCTGTCCTTTCATTTTTGATGTAAAAGTTTGAGGAGGCATAACAGTGTCTAGTACACAAAGTGGGGTCCATATAGAAATGTTTTGTGTAATCTGGTGTGGAATAACTTGACTGGCACAAAGCCTAGACTTGAACGCCTATTCAAAAGCTTCAGGCCTTCCTTCCTCAGACTGTTGCAGGACAATTTGAAGGACTGAATTCTCTACAATGTCATTGTTTTGTAGCAGAGTCAAAAATGAGAAGGAAAGAGTTTAAATAGTTTTGTCCACATGGTGTATTTGCTGAGTAGCTCACCTTGGTGTGTCCAAATTTGTATTGGGTGTGGTCAACATCAATAGAGCCCAAGAGTTTCTCTGTAGCCTTTTTGTTGTCAATGAACTGTCCCTCAGGGATGACACTAGCATTTAATACTTTGTACCTAGAGGACATTAAGGTAAGATTTGTTTTGGTGAAGGCACAAAAGTGATGAAAGCACAATTTTGAAATGTGTATAAGATTAGATGGTGTATTATCTCTAATTAATAGGTTGAAAAAGGTGTGGTGTCTTTACCTCTGCTTGAAGTCACCATAGAGGATTCTGCTGGGGAAACCCTTCCTGCAGATTCTGATACCCTCCAGCACACCATTACACCTGAGCTGGTGGATAACGTTTCCTCAGCTTAAAATCCTCATTTAGGTATCGTTTTAAGAAGTTCTTAACTAAGGATAAAAAACATCAGTCGTCTTTCATATATACATACAATTTGGATTTAGCTTTTCTATGAACTCTGTCAAAACAGCAATTTATCGACAATTAATTATATATACACTAATACTTAGTACACACTAGTTATTATAAAGTGTATTTTTTTCATTGATTTTTTAACTGTTGTTTGTTGAGACTGCTGGAATCCACTTACCAGTGAGCATGAACTGGTAGGCGTTGTCAGAGATGGAGAAGATGTGAGGTGGGGCTTCAATCCTCTTTTTGCCTCTGTATCCAGACACAACAATTGAGTCGTACACTGGGAGCCACTTGTAGGGATTGACAGTGACGCAGAACAAGCCAGAGTAGGTCTGAAATGGAGATCGTCCAGTTTTACAATGTTGCTGCCCTATTCCAGGAATAAATTATGATTTACTTACATAGATCATCCATGCTGCGTAACGCTCTTTGAGGTTAAACAGCACAGAAGGCTCATTGAGGTGGGTCATCATGGCCATGTCCTCCATTTTGTCAAACTTGGGAGGATTCATTGGGAAGATTTCATCTTCTTTTACTGTGACAGTCTGTAATGAACATTGTTTAGACTTTTTGTACACACATTTCTACACAATTTAAGTGAAAAACTTTAACCTCTGAAGACTCAAGCACAATAACATATCAAATAGTTTTTTTTAAATCTATGATACTTACTTTCCCACAGTGAGTTTTGACAGTAGCTTTGCCACCCTCTCTACTAACAAGAGTACTTTTCAGGTACATCTTAAAGCAACAACATATTAATCATAGACATTTGGATAATACACTTATATGGTATAAAAGTTTTACAGTCCATGTTTTTCTTATGTTGTGTATCTTCTTTTTAATGTAGGCTTTCTTGTTGTGTGTATTTGTTTGTTTTCAATGTTTAATTTGATGTCACTTAGGTCTTATTTCAATGCTGCATCTTATTTTAATCTTGGCAAAGAGGAGGAACTTGGTTCAGCTGTGAAGAAGCACTCAGCTGTCACTGCTATTTAGTTTTAGAGGTGACAGCAAGACTGACACAAAGTGATGACTGAAAGTTTTTACTTTTGATAAAAGGTAATATACTTATGTTTTGGGCAACTATCTGTTACATAGCGATTGATATTGCTAAATCACATGATGTAATTTACCATTATTGCCTTTGTTTTACCAGATAGATTCTTGTGTTCAGCAAGTTCCAACATTTGTTTTTGGACATTTAGCATCCATGTTATTTCCTTTTCAATTGCAAATACAGTCAAGTAACAGTGTTTGCATATAATGTCAACTTTTGGACAGATATTTCATTTTTTTACAAAATCACAAAGAGCTTACTGTATGTAATATCTAGTTCAATCACAGGATTGTGAGCAAAGATTTTCCTCTCGACCAATTTGAGAAGTTTGTCAAGCAGAACATTAAAAACTTAGATGAATTACCAGAGATGGACTGTAACAGTCCTTCCAAATGGAAAAAATACTATCTCTGGCAGACATTTATTGGGCAATTAAACCTCAGTTATCACTGCACATACGAATCTTATTTCATGGTCATATAATGACTCTCAAAGTTATAAACAGCATGTTCATATATGGACAAATCATAAATATAGCCCAGTGAGTGCTCATGTTTGAACTATGAAGTTTAGGTTACTCATCCAGGCCACGGTGAAGACTTATCTGACCTATCATGACATTACTGTAAGATTTCTCAGTGCACTGCTTTTTCAATTTACTGTACTTTTAAATAAATTAATAAATAAAAAGTATTAAACAATGTTGTTGACTGGCTCTAGACTCTCTATATTTATGTTTATATGCTAAGATTTATTAGCTGCTGCAGTATACTATTGTTGTAGATTGTTATTTTAACTTACTTTGTGTTAGAGTCACCATAACGTGTTTCAACAAGAAGTGTGTTGAAGACGTGTGTAGTAAATAGGGGACCACCAAATGACAACATATTTAATTGACGACGACCTCTGACCTATCACTTCAGGACCCCTGAGACACGTTTTAAGTGTGCGAGCAAAATAGTAGCATGGGCGAGAACAGCGTGTATCTGAACGCGTGCGGAGGTACTACTCACATTAAAGAGCCACAAAATTTTTACTGTTTGAATTTCTTTAAAAAATTAAAATTTAGAAAATTTAGAAATTGTTTCACACCAAAAGTAACCTGCTCTGTGTTGTCTATCGGCGCATTGTCAGTGTTAAGTGACACGTGAACCGATCATCTCGTCCTCTTTACTACTAGTTATAGCAGGAAATAAACATGAATGAACATTAGAGTTATGTTCTCTCAACTGCAGAAAGCCGTCCATACACCATAGTCCACTGACGTTACTCTAACGCTCCTGTTTGGGTTGTTTGTCAGACAAAATGGCGAATTCGGCATTATGACTGGTCAGATCGCCTGTCAATCAAACTCCAGGTCAAGGGTGAAATCCCGCCCTATATTCCAGAAATAGTTTCACTCGAATATACGTCACAATAGGGAAGATGACTTTAAAGCATAATCTTGAGAGTTTAAATAAGATCTTTTTAAAATTAAAAGATAGTTTAGATGAAATCTTTAAAGTTTTAAATAAAATATTTTACTTAACTTCTTCTGAAAACCCCATCCAATGCGATGAAACATTTTGCCAGTCTTTCTGTATGTTTTAAAAATAAACTAGAAATATTTCATTTGTTTGTAAACAGATGCGATGGCAACTGTGTGTTTGTACAATGCAGACGCATCTCTCACGTCAAACGTGGAACAGGTAATTCCTTATTTATTTTTAATCTTTAAGAAATTTGAAATATTTATTTTACTTATTTTATTTCAAAGCATACTCCTGCTTAAAAGGCTAAATAAAAAGTGTCCATATCCTAGTGTATTACTAGGGCGAGCCTACACTCAATATCTGACATCCTGTTGTAGCTATGATCTAGTTCTGCACTTATAGTTAAGTATGATCATACTTTTCTGAACCGGCCTTTATCAGCATGATGAATATCATTTTGTTTATTTGTTTATTGTTTATTTTTTTATTTAATGAGGGACAATGCACATTAATAATGCACACAACATGTGAAAAATGTGTCAGATTTAGCCAAAATTGGCTAATTGTAATCCGTAGTCCCTTGGCACACTAGTTATTATAAAGTGTATTTTTTTCATTGACTTTTTAACTGTTATTTGTTGAGACTGCTGGAATCCACTTACCAGTGAGCATGAACTGGTAGGCGTTGTCAGAGATGGAGAAGATGTGAGGTGGGGCTTCAATCCTCTTTTTGCCTCTGTATCCAGCCACAACAATTGTATCGTACACTGGGAGCCATTTGTATGGATTGACAGTGGCGCAGAACAAGCCAGAGTAGGTCTGAAATGGAGATCGTCCAGTTTTACAATGTTGCTGCCCTATTCCAGGAATAAATTATGATTTACTTACATAGATCATCCATGCTGCGTAACGCTCTTTGAGGTTAAACAGCACAGAAGGCTCATTGAGGTGGGTCATCATGGCCATGTCCTCCATTTTGTCAAACTTGGGAGGATTCATTGGGAAGATTTCATCTTCTTTTACTGTGACAGTCTGTAATGAACATTGTTTAGACTTTTTGTACACACATTTCTACACAATTTAAGTGAAAAACTTTAACCTCTGAAGACTCAAGCACAGTAACATATCAAATAGTTTTTTTTAAATCTATGATACTTACTTTCCCACAGTGAGTTTTGACAGTAGCTTTGCCACCCTCTCTACTAACAAGATTACTTTTCAGGTACATCTCAGCTGCATCTGTCACGAAGAATGCTGTTTTGGCATCAAAGGGGGCGGTCTGAGCCTCGATTCGCTCTCTTTCTGGCTTCCGGAGGTAAATGGCCGCCGGGCCGAAACACTCCATTTCACCATCTCCCATGATTGTACTTCACTGTGGAGTAGAACTGACATCACCATGCTGATATACTTAATTAGATTCACTTTCTGATTGTCATTGTCTAACTTTCAACTCTCCTAATACATTCCAATCAGTGAAACCTCCAAACAGATCATATTGTCACCATCAGTTGGCAAGTTATTTACCTTGTATTATGATCAGATAGAAATGGCAGCTGTCAAGTTAAGGAGTCTGAAAAAAAAAAGTATAAATGACTATATACTAAATACATAGTATATATAGTATATATATAATGATAGATAGATAGATAGGTAGATGGTGTGACTCACCGACGTTTGATGGGCAACTGTGCTGCAAGCAGAGGGTGTCATTTATATAGTATCTTTACTGAAGACTCAGCTGAAATGTGCGGCTGGATTTGGTCATGTTATTCTACATGGTGTGTGATGATGCATCTCAGTCCTGGTGGAAAATAGCAACATGTTGTCCTTCATTTGTTTTGTTGGTTTGCTGGAGCATGTGATATTTTAATTATTCTCATGGTTTACATCAACGGAACAGCCTTTCTATACTTAAATTCATGATGTTGATATGTTTTAAATTTTAAAGCAACAACATATTAATCATAGACATTTGGATAATACACTTATATGGTATAAAAGTTTTACAGTCCATGTTTTTCTTATGTTGTGTATCTTCTTTTTAATGTAGGCTTTCTTGTTGTGTGTATTTGTTTGTTTTCAATGTTTAATTTGATGTCACTTAGGTCTTATTTCAATGCTGCATCTTATTTTAATCTTGGCAAAGAGGAGGAACTTGGTTCAGCTGTGAAGAAGCACTCAGCTGTCACTGCTATTTAGTTTTAGAGGTGACAGCAAGACTGACACAAAGTGATGACTGAAAGTTTTTACTTTTGATAAAAGGTAATATACTTATGTTTTGGACAGCTATCTGTTACATAGCGATTGATATTGCTAAATCACATGATGTAATTTACCATTCTTGCCTTTGTTTTACCAGATAGATTCTTGTGTTCAGCAAGTTCCAACATTTGTTTTTGGACATTTAGCATCCATGTTATTTCCTTTTCAATTGCAAATACATTCAAGTAACAGTGTTTGCATATAATGTCAACTTTTGGACAGATATTTCATTTTTTTACAAAATCACAAAGAGCTTACTGTATGTAATATCTAGTTCAATCACAGGATTGTGAGCAAAGATTTTCCTCTTGACCAATTTGAGAAGTTTGTCAAGCAGAACATTAAAAACTTAGATGAATTACCAGAGATGGACTGTAACAGTCCTTCCAAATGGAAAAAATACTATCTCTGGCAGACATTTATTGGGCAATTAAACCTCAGTTATCACTGCACATACGAATCTTATTTCATGGTCATGTAATGACTCTCAAAGTTATAAACAGCATGTTCATATATGGACAAATCATAAATATAGCCCAGTGAGTGCTCATGTTTGAACTATGAAGTTTAGGTTACTCATCCAGGCCACGGTGAAGACTTATCTGACCTATCATGACATTACTGTAAGATTTCTCAGTGCACTGCTTTTTCAATTTACTGTACTTTGAAATAAATTAATAAATAAAAAGTATTAAACAATGTTGTTGACTGGCTCTAGACTCTCTATATTTATGTTTATATGCTAAGATTTATTAGCTGCTGCAGTATACTATTGTTGTAGATTGTTATTTTAACTTACTTTGTGTTAGAGTCACCATAACGTGTTTCAACAAGAAGTGTGTTGAAGACGTGTGTAGTAAATAGGGGACCACCAAATGACAACATATTTAATTGACGATGACCTCTGACCTCTCACTTCAGGACCCCTGAGACACGTTTTAAGTGTGCGAGCAAAATAGTAGCATGGGCGAGAACAGCGTGTATCTGAACGCGTGCGAGCGGAAAGATTCGCGCTCGCGCATTATATTAATGTGCTTTCGCGCTACAATAATGCACTCTCGACATTTGTCATTAAAATAACGCCATACTAAACATATAAAAATAAAATCTAAAATAAAAATAACATAATATTAAATTCAATAATATTACATTTATATAAACACACACACCCATGTATATATATTGGTATATACAATTTTTTGTAGCATGTAGCATGCTTTTCCAAGTAAGTATCAGAATAAAAAAAGATTGATCAACGGCTGGTCACGGCCCTGCTCTTCTATCTTGTCACAACATCCTGAGGATTGA